TAAATATTCCTTTATATGTGGTTCAGAGTTCTGGGACCAGCCCCTGAGCCTGCTTGGTCAGGTATTCTGTGTTGTTGCCTGCGGAGCTCCTACTGCACTTCCACTCTATCCGCCATCTTGTTTGTTCTCCCAGTGTTTATCTTTCAGAGTCACACCTGGACTCCCCCCATAAAGAGTACAGTTCCAGAAACCCTATGGAGCAGTTCTACTGTATCCTGTGGGGTCCTCTGAGTAGGAACTGATTTGGTGACTGGGTTTTGGGGGGTGTCTAGGAGCTCTGGTGATTAAGCCTTCAGCTCCTAACCCAGAGGTCAACAGTTCGAACCCACCAGCCACTCTGCTGGAGACAGCTGTGGTAGTTTGCTTCCATGAAGATTGGAAGCCTTGGAAACCTTATAGGGCAGTTCTCTTATATTCCACAGGGTCTCTATGAGTTGGAATTGACTTGATAACAGTGAATTTTTTGTGGGGAGGGGTGTCTAGAAATTTCTGGAGCCCTGGTGTGATACTGTAAGATAAGCGCTGGACTGCTAAACAAAGTCAACAATTCAAATCTATTAGCCTCTCCTTGGAAACCCTGTACAGGGTTGTTATGAGTCAGAATTGACTTGAGGACACTTAACAATAAGAACCTTTTGGGATGGAGACTTGAGCTGGGGGGATTAGGTTTGGGATCTTAGGTGGATTTACTGCTATAGATCAGGGTCTCCCCGCTTCCCTGGTTTCCCAGGCATTAGCCTCATGTAGCTTTGTGACATGGGCAGCGAGTTACCAGGTGGATTTATCTTCCTATCACTTCAGTAATGTCAGGACATAATTACTGATAATAATGTCTTAAGACAGCCACATTCAGGGATTGGTAATGTCACCTCCTTTAGACAAATTTAGTTCCTTGATTTGATGTACGAGGTCGCTTTTAACCATATTTAAAACCTTAGCCCCTTTGTTAGATCAATGAACTCTAGTCTTTTCAGACAATCGGGCTGTTTATAGTGTGATAATGTCTTCGGTTGCTAGGCAGCTTCTGCCTTGTGCTGGATCAGTACGTCATCAGTTGTCAGGCAGATTTACCGCTGTTGTGGATTGAATGATGTTAGCAGTTGCCCCTTCCTGGGTTCAATGATCACAGGAGGAATAGAGGAGCTTTCACCTTTTGTC